CTCTCAAATTATGTTTTTGAGACAAGAGAGTCTAGTTCATTCTATTTATTTTTTTCATTTTTAGTTCATTCATTTTAATAGCTGTTAGTATTTAAGTACTATAAATGAACCACAGATTATTTACTCATTTCTCCATTTATAGAAAATTCAGTTGTCCTCAATATTTTACTGTTAGAAACAGTCTAACGAGCATTATACAGGTAGTTTCCATGAAGAGCGATAAGTAAAGCCAGCCTGCTGTGATAACACAGAGGAGGGACACACCTGCAGTCTGCAGGTGTCTTGGAGCATGTGGCATTTTCTGGAAGTTTATCTGGTTGGAATGCAGAATGGGGATAATAATGAGATGTGAACATGGACAGGTAAGTAGGAGCCAGATGGTGGAGGGTGCCTTTAAGGAGTCTGAACTTCCATCTGCTGGAGATGGGGTGCCCACTGAGAGGTTGTAACCACTGGGGCAGTGTCGATTTATTTGTCCTTTAGAGAGGGAGAAACCACTCTTGCACCATCTTGTGGATTGGAGAGGGACAAGACTGGAGACCAGAAGAAGACTTAGGAGACTGGCCACTTCTGATCAAGGAAAGAGGTGGTGGTGGCCGAACTGCCGTGATGGCATCAGGGATGGAGAGAAGTGGAGGGTGCTGAGAGGGAGTAACAGGAAGAGTCAACAGATGTCACGTGGCAGGAGGGGTTGTGGGGGTAGAGCAGAGAGGGGTGTACAAGGTGGAAGCCCAGTTTTGGTCTTGAAAAGCTAAGGTAAGAGAACACAGGAGGAAGAGAGAAGACATGCTTTAGGGCGCTGGGAGAGAGAAGGGAGAGTAGCTGTTCCTCTGCGTTGACTTAGTATGTTACCAAATGCAGTGGATTCTGGCACTGTCTGTTCAGAGTTGTCAGGGCATGATCTCACCCTTGTACCAGGATATAACCAGGTGCGGAAAATGGGGACCACATAGGCCAGATGTCACCAGCCCTGGGGAAGGGATTCCTGTCTCCTGCTGATTGATACCTGAAATCCTTTCATGGGGTCAAGCCTTTTCCTTCTTGAAGATAAGGCAGGCAGTGTGCCATATTGGGAAACGCGGAGGCCTTGGGTCACAAAACTGATTTTGAATCCTGGCACTACCACTTACTAGTTCTGTGACCCTCAGGAAAACCTTTAACCTCTCTAAATCTTAATTTCTTCATCTTTAGAATGAGATATTGATATCTGTTTCCTGGGTGGGGAAGAGGTTATTAAAATTAAATGATGTATATGGACACTAACAGAGTTGCACAGAGAATGAATGGCAGCTGCTGTTTGTTGTTGTATTGTTAAGGTATCAAAAACAAATATTACTGGAATATATTCCTCTCCTAATTACCTCACTTAAAGTTGCAAACTTCCCTTTACTCCCTCCACTTCTGACCCCCCTTATTCTGCTCAATGTTGTTATTTTTCCATAGCCTTTAACACCTAACATAGCATACAATTTACTTATTATAATTATTATCTCATCTCTTTCCTACTAGGAAGAGATCTCCCCACAAAGGCGGACTCTTTTCCTGTTTTGTTCATTGACGCAGATACCAGGAGCAGTGCCTGTCCCTGGCATATAGTAGATGCTCAGTGAATACTGGTTTGAATGAATGACTGATTCTTGGACCCCTTGAGAATTCTATGAAAGCCTGAACTTTCTCCCCCGGTGTAGGGAGGATAGCTCACATTCAAAGTTTTGCCTAAAACTTCAGACCCTCTGAATTACTATCCATTGGAAATGCAAGGTAGAAAGGCCTGCACTAATAAGAGGTTGTGATGTTTCCTTCAGGTAACTTCTCAAATGAGGGTACAGACAGGTGGTTATCTGACACTGTCCTACTTTTTGGTAGGCACTTAGACTAGAATTCCCAGACATTTGGATTCTCTTCTTTGCATTTGAGAAATGGAAATCTCAAAGGCTCAGATTAGTGTATGATTGCACAACTTGGAAAGCAAATAAGACAGCTGTATCTATTACAGTTGTTTAGTCCATGTATAAGGATCTGTGGACCAATAGATACTAATTTTTGTATGGAGCATTAACCTCATATTAGCTACAGGTAAATTTAATTAAATGTTCATGGAAAATTTTTTTTAAATGGAGCATGATGCATTACTGTGTCCTTATTTGATTAGACTAATTTTTAAATTATATTTATGATTATATGAGTCAAGTAGTAACCAAATATGAATTACTATTACTAGAAAAATCACTTTATACGAAGCTGTTTCCATTCTAACTTTGGAAACAGTTGAGCAAAAGCCTTTAGATCTGCTAGCCCAAGAGATCTGTTTTCAGATGGAAAGACCCAAAGTGATTGGATTCAGAAGTAGTAGTAGAGGCGTGGTTGGGTGCCCTTAGCATTATTTGAATAATGGATCTATTGCAAATTTCTCCTCTTTTCAGATTCCCCTCGACGACTCTGGTGGTACCACTGGATTTGCTGGCTTCTCAGCGTAGTTGGAATCTTCTGTATTCTCTTGGCGCATGACCACTACACTGTGGATGTGGTGGTGGCATATTACATCACCACGAGACTCTTCTGGTGGTATCACACTATGGCCAATCAGCAAGTGAGTTTTTCCCCCATTTGATTTTAGCTTCCATTGCTCCTGGCTTGGAGGTGGGGGAAGAGAGTGGGGGTGCAAAGAATCCACAGATCTCGTTTCCCTTTCTTAGGGAGTTGTCAACTAAGATCATGTTGTCTTTGGGACACTGATCCTCTTCAGAATCAAGATGAAAAAGTGTGTTACTATAATGACATAAGAAATTGCTTTTTTTCTAGAACAAATGTCACACACTCATTGTCTGGGGAAAATTCTAAGCCTGTGTCCCCCTGTTGCTTGACTGGCATTTCTACCCTTTTCTCTGTACCCTGGGCCTTCACCAGCTTAATACTTAACGTTTAATTGTCTTTCCATTTTTAGCATAGAAAAATGAACAACTAAAAGGTAAACTGAGGTATTTATTCATGGACAAGAGATGAGTGCTCCTTGCCCTCCCATAATCAGGGTTATTTCTTTTTCTACTGGGGTGTGGCCCAGCTTGCAGATGAATGTGGGTTGTAGGATGGTGATGTAAGAGTGAAGCTGGGACGTGTGGGTGGCCTCGTGAATTTTAACATGGGAAGTATTTGAACTTAAAGAGAAACGTGGTGAGAAAAGTGTCTGTGTTTCTTTGTTATCTTAGGTGCTAAAGGAAGCTTCCCAGATGAACCTCCTGGCCAGGGTGTGGTGGTACAGGCCATTTCAGTACTTTGAGAAGAATGTCCAAGGAATTGTACCTCGATCTTACCATTGGCCTTTCCCCTGGCCAGTAGTCCACCTCGGCAGGCAAGTTAAATACAGCCGGTTGGTGAATGACACATAACAGCTGGACGAAGTGAGGGAAAAGAACTGTCCAAAGTGCTAAGAACTCCATAAGAGAAGATGCCATAAAATAAACACTTCCCTAATCCTATTATCTTTCACCGGTTACCTTGACTTAACCTGTTGAGTTACCTGGTCAGCACTGTGATCTTTTTTTCTCTCCAAAGGACCTGCGTTGGANGTGCGGAAAATGGGGACCACATAGGCCAGATGTCACCAGCCCTGGGGAAGGGATTCCTGTCTCCTGCTGATTGATACCTGAAATCCTTTCATGGGGTCAAGCCTTTTCCTTCTTGAAGATAAGGCAGGCAGTGTGCCATGGTGCGGAAAATGGGGACCACATAGGCCAGATGTCACCAGCCCTGGGGAAGGGATTCCTGTCGCCTGCTGGTTGATACCTGAAATCCTTTCATGGGGTCAAGCCTTTTCCTTCTTGAAGATAAGGCAGGCAGTGTGCCATATTGGGAAACGCGGAGGCCTTGGGTCACAAAACTGATTTTGAATCCTGGCACTACCACTTACTAGTTCTGTGACCCTCAGGAAAACCTTTAACCTCTCTAAATCTTAATTTCTTCATCTTTAGAATGAGATATTGATATCTGTTTCCTGGGTGGGGAAGAGGTTATTAAAATTAAATGATGTATATGGACACTAACAGAGTTGCACAGAGAATGAATGGCAGCTGCTGTTTGTTGTTGTATTGTTAAGGTATCAAAAACAAATATTACTGGAATATATTCCTCTCCTAATTACCTCACTTAAAGTTGCAAACTTCCCTTTACTCCCTCCACTTCTGACCCCCCTTATTCTGCTCAATGTTGTTATTTTTCCATAGCCTTTAACACCTAACATAGCATACAATTTACTTATTATAATTATTATCTCATCTCTTTCCTACTAGGAAGAGATCTCCCCACAAAGGCGGACTCTTTTCCTGTTTTGTTCATTGACGCAGATACCAGGAGCAGTGCCTGTCCCTGGCATATAGTAGATGCTCAGTGAATACTGGTTTGAATGAATGACTGATTCTTGGACCCCTTGAGAATTCTATGAAAGCCTGAACTTTCTCCCCCGGTGTAGGGAGGATAGCTCACATTCAAAGTTTTGCCTAAAACTTCAGACCCTCTGAATTACTATCCATTGGAAATGCAAGGTAGAAAGGCCTGCACTAATAAGAGGTTGTGATGTTTCCTTCAGGTAACTTCTCAAATGAGGGTACAGACAGGTGGTTATCTGACACTGTCCTACTTTTTGGTAGGCACTTAGACTAGAATTCCCAGACATTTGGATTCTCTTCTTTGCATTTGAGAAATGGAAATCTCAAAGGCTCAGATTAGTGTATGATTGCACAACTTGGAAAGCAAATAAGACAGCTGTATCTATTACAGTTGTTTAGTCCATGTATAAGGATCTGTGGACCAATAGATACTAATTTTTGTATGGAGCATTAACCTCATATTAGCTACAGGTAAATTTAATTAAATGTTCATGGAAAATTTTTTTTAAATGGAGCATGATGCATTACTGTGTCCTTATTTGATTAGACTAATTTTTAAATTATATTTATGATTATATGAGTCAAGTAGTAACCAAATATGAATTACTATTACTAGAAAAATCACTTTATACGAAGCTGTTTCCATTCTAACTTTGGAAACAGTTGAGCAAAAGCCTTTAGATCTGCTAGCCCAAGAGATCTGTTTTCAGATGGAAAGACCCAAAGTGATTGGATTCAGAAGTAGTAGTAGAGGCGTGGTTGGGTGCCCTTAGCATTATTTGAATAATGGATCTATTGCAAATTTCTCCTCTTTTCAGATTCCCCTCGACGACTCTGGTGGTACCACTGGATTTGCTGGCTTCTCAGCGTAGTTGGAATCTTCTGTATTCTCTTGGCGCATGACCACTACACTGTGGATGTGGTGGTGGCATATTACATCACCACGAGACTCTTCTGGTGGTATCACACTATGGCCAATCAGCAAGTGAGTTTTTCCCCCATTTGATTTTAGCTTCCATTGCTCCTGGCTTGGAGGTGGGGGAAGAGAGTGGGGGTGCAAAGAATCCACAGATCTCGTTTCCCTTTCTTAGGGAGTTGTCAACTAAGATCATGTTGTCTTTGGGACACTGATCCTCTTCAGAATCAAGATGAAAAAGTGTGTTACTATAATGACATAAGAAATTGCTTTTTTTCTAGAACAAATGTCACACACTCATTGTCTGGGGAAAATTCTAAGCCTGTGTCCCCCTGTTGCTTGACTGGCATTTCTACCCTTTTCTCTGTACCCTGGGCCTTCACCAGCTTAATACTTAACGTTTAATTGTCTTTCCATTTTTAGCATAGAAAAATGAACAACTAAAAGGTAAACTGAGGTATTTATTCATGGACAAGAGATGAGTGCTCCTTGCCCTCCCATAATCAGGGTTATTTCTTTTTCTACTGGGGTGTGGCCCAGCTTGCAGATGAATGTGGGTTGTAGGATGGTGATGTAAGAGTGAAGCTGGGACGTGTGGGTGGCCTCGTGAATTTTAACATGGGAAGTATTTGAACTTAAAGAGAAACGTGGTGAGAAAAGTGTCTGTGTTTCTTTGTTATCTTAGGTGCTAAAGGAAGCTTCCCAGATGAACCTCCTGGCCAGGGTGTGGTGGTACAGGCCATTTCAGTACTTTGAGAAGAATGTCCAAGGAATTGTACCTCGATCTTACCATTGGCCTTTCCCCTGGCCAGTAGTCCACCTCGGCAGGCAAGTTAAATACAGCCGGTTGGTGAATGACACATAACAGCTGGACGAAGTGAGGGAAAAGAACTGTCCAAAGTGCTAAGAACTCCATAAGAGAAGATGCCATAAAATAAACACTTCCCTAATCCTATTATCTTTCACCGGTTACCTTGACTTAACCTGTTGAGTTACCTGGTCAGCACTGTGATCTTTTTTTCTCTCCAAAGGACCTGCGTTGGACAACAGTACAAAAAAAAAAAAAAAAAAAAAAAAAAAAAAACCTATCATGCACTGTACACGTTTCCTGTTCATAAGTTTGGGATTTACATAACCTGCGACCACCACGTTCCTTTGTATATGATGCAACAGCATAAATGTAAGCTTTTATATCATAAGTTCTGGTCTTTCCAGTCACATCTGGAAATAAAGTGTATTATTTTCTTGGGAAAACATACTTTTCATATCTCTTGCCCCAAAGATTGGGCTGTAAGCCATTTTCTAGCAAATGTCTCTATGAAGGTTTCTAAGTACCTGAATGGGGTCTGATTCTGAAATCTTTCTACCTGTTGCACCAATATTCAAATAAAAATGACAGACATGGAAAGGTTTGGTAACTTTGGGTTTTGTAAAAATCAGCAGAGACAGTGTGTCAAAAAGTAAAAAAAAAAAAAAAAAAAAAGATTCTGTTATAAAGTGATTTTCTAAGTATTTCCTAACTTTATTTTTCAAAATGGTGGTATGAAAACCAAATTTAAAGATTTTTACATGACAGAGTGTTAAAATTTAAAACTGCTTCTTGGGAGAGAAATTTGTCTATGTTTCTAGTGCCTTTCTTGTCTTGATTGTATGGTCAGTAGGCAATCTTAAATGTTTTTATTTAAAATAAAGTATTCCATGAAAATATATAAATGTATGTATACACTACTAAATTTTGCATTTATAGCTGAATTAAATCAGAAAACTGCTTATGGTTTTAAAATTGCTATGAATTAAAGAATGAGGATGTTAGAGAGTCAGAGCCTGCTCACATATTGTGGGCAGGTGGTAATGACATGTACCACTTAAATTATTTTATTATCTATTTGGTAGTTCGATTTTAACTACTCAATGAAAACAGCCATGAATATCTTTTTTTTAAAGAGAGTTTTGAAAATGATCACTTACCTAAAACTTGAAAGCTATGAATTAGTTATCCATACTTTCATGACAATTTTGTTGGTGAACAACAAAAAAGACATGTATTTCTTTAAAATATATTTGTGCAGAAACTGCATGTAATTCTAAGTTTAACTCCTAACATGCGTATGTTTGGGGAAGTATTCTATTCTATACTTGCCAATGTGGAGAACAGAATAGTTTTTTAAGAGTGAAGAAGTATATATATCCATTCCGTATTTTACGTGCAGCAGAATTATCTTCCGTAGGGTTTTTTGTGTATTCACAAGGTGATATTTGTATTGTACAACAATAATGGTGAAGGAAATAAAAAGGCTTTTAAAATTTTGTTTGTTTTAAATCTTCATAAAGTTATTATTCCAGAGAGTATACTGATATCTTACAGCTTATCTAGATCATAAATTAATCAAAATGCACTTTTTAATAAAAATTGACCCTTAAAATAAATGGCTATTTCTAATGTGTTCACATTCTTTACAAAAGTCACAAATGAGGTCATTCAAGCAAGATAGAAAAATGAGTTTCAGAATTTCTGCACTGACTTTGTACGTTTGACACAAGACCTTTAATAATCATCCGTTTCTTTTTTCTTGAGATTCCTTATTATGCATTCTGATCTTCAGTAACCTCTATAGATCGAGTGTATTTTTTAAATATATAAAAAGAATCATAGATCAACTAAATTCAAACTGTAGGCCATTGTTTATCGACAATTTTGAATTCTCTAATTCTCAAACAAGTCATTGACTTAGTTTTTCTTCCTCTACCTGGAAGTTATGTAGCTTTTCCAGTTTAAATGAAAAGCAAAAGTAAATCTGAAGTGAGAAATAGAGTAATAGTATTTTGATAATCAGTGGTAATGGAGAAGAACTCTTTAAAAAGAAAAGATTATTATTCCTGATGTGGTAAAGAAAGGAAGGTGTTAACAGTGGAGACCTGTCTTTGTTCAAGGATACATGCAGCAGGGCTAGAAATTTAAAACCAGTAAAACTTTCCTGTGTGGGGCTTTGAACTTGTGTGTCAGACAGAGAAAACGTGGTGTCCTCCAAAGGCAAATAGAGCAACATTCTGGGATAGGTCTGTATTTAACTGTTACAGCTTTGTACTTACTGTTGACCTGGCACTACGTATTGAAAGGGAAAGTAAGTTGAGTAAATTCAAATGAATTATTGGCACATGCTAAAAATCTTTTTTTCTAAGAAAGTTGAAATAGTGATATAAAAAATATACTATGTATGGCTTTACGTACCTCACGTGTATCA